GGGGGGGGGGGGGGGGAGGGGGGGGCATGGAGCGGTACGAGCCGCATTAACGGTGATGGAAGAAAAATAAAAAGACCCCCTATAGGGTGTAGAACAGTAGGTGCCTGCCATGCGTTACATGCTCTTCCCTATGTAATGCTAATGGCAGGCCCCAATAAACAAATCATTTAAATCAATTTTGAAATGGAAAATACGTTTTTCATCTTAAATGAAAAATGTTTATATTTCTGTGCAATTTTGGCTTAATTACACCTCTGATTGTTATTCTTTCAAAAAATGGCCTTTTTGAGTCCAGTTACCAATTAATCAATTACTAAATTAGTTCATGATTTTGTCAATTTTCAATTAATCACGATTAATCGCTTCAGCCCTAAATATTACTGACAATATTAAAAACTAAAGTTGACAATATTTAAAATATTTATGTTATCTATTTATTAATTTATGTATTTGTTAATTTTTGTCATTTTGTTTATTTTATTACTCATTTACATCTAAGATATATACTGGTGTATGTAATATTATCTGCATCCTGGAGTGGCTCTGTTTATTGTTAGAAAGTAAATTTCTAAGAAATATTGAGTTTCTGAGACATTCAGAAGAAAATTGGGAAAATAATACTTAGTGTTGAGTTGTTTTAATGTCTTATGCCAGTTGTTTTGAATTATATTAAATTAAATTATGTGACGATTAATTTACTGAAGGTCCCGGTGGACGATGCTGAGGGAGTGCAGGTAGACGCCTGGAGATGCCTTCGCTCTCCAGCCAAGAGCAAATTGACACAAAATTATTTGTAAAACGCTTAATTCTGTTTTTAATAGCAGCAATAATCAGTAGAAATATTAAAGTATCAGTGGCGCTCACCTGGTCTCCTTCTCACTCAGAGTCACTTTTTCTGTGAGGTAGTCAAACAGCTCTCCTCTCCTCATTCTGTCCAGAAAACAAACATAAATCTACAAAATATTCTCACATGTAAATAATATTCCCACTTCATTTCTCTGTTTTGATACTCACAGGTCAAACACTAAAAATATGAATGTTGTGGACTCGTAGGAATCAATCAGGGTGACTGGAGGAAACCAAACAAACAGAAAGCGTTAAAAACAGGGCCGGTCAAAGCATTATGGGGCCCTGAGCAGATTTTCACTGGGGCCCCCAAACCAGCATGTCATTCCAAAGCTACGCTAACACACCTGCTATTATTAGTGTTCCTTGTAACTAGCAGAGTTGGATAGTAACTAGTTACATTTCCTCATTTACTTGAGTAACATTTTTTAAAACAATGTACTTTTAGGAGTATTTTTACTATGCTGTACTTTTTACTTTTACCTGAGTAATTTTATTATGAAGTATCTCTGCTCTTACTGGAGTGAAATTTCTGGATTTTCTACCCACTGAATAAAAAAATTAACATGTTTTAACCAGAATCGCACCAGATAGACACACTGCTGCAGTTTCTGTTAAAGATTCCTAAGTTGTTTTTTTTTGGGGGGGGGGAAAGAACTCAATTGGAAAAATGTCCTTTTTCCTGATTTTTAAATTTTTTTCTATTTATATGAATTTTAGTCCTTAAAATACCAACACTTCCACTTAACTTTATATTTTTGTCTGTCTGATCATGTAACATTTAAATATTAAATGATTGATAAATTGACATTTCGCCAAATATTTTTTACTCTTGAGGAATTTCTTGTGTAGCTACTGTTCACTTTTACTTGAGTAGAAATATGTTGAAGTAGCTATACTCTTCCTTGAGTATAATTGTTGGGTCCTCTGATTATAATAAATGAGATACTGACCAACATTTTGATGTGAAATGATGACAAAATGTAAAATGTTTACTGGTTTTCTCAATTGTTGACTGTGTGGTGTCTTCTGTGTCTTTATTTTTGTGTTTTTATGTTGTAAAGCACTTGTTGCTGAAATGAGATATACAAATAAACTTGACTGATTGAACTCTAAAGATAAGAGAAATAGTTTTTCCATGTTTTGATGGCGTTTGAACGGAACCTACTGATGGAGGAATGGCCCTTCACCATGTTGAGGACCTGGATCTCCTTCAGGGTGGAGCTCTTCACCTCCTCCAGCTGCTGGGCCGTCATCTTCTCGGCTGTGATCTCGATGATCTTCACGGCCAGCTCCTGGCCGGTGTGTCGGTGCACACACCGCCTCACCACGCTGCTCACCCCCCTGCAGAAGCAGCACACACCGGAAAGTACATCATGTTCCCTCCGCCACCAGGCGGGACGCTGAGTCCTAACCCGGCTGCTCAGCTGGACTTACCGGCCGATCACCTCTTTGGGGTCGTACTTCTGGTAGAACTCCTTCGCCCCCACCCAGTCAGGTAATTCATCTCCGAGAACGATGTCCTTGGTCATGATGTGAATCTACAGCAACAAACTCAGGTCACAATTCACAACAAACACCCCGCTAACTCCTGATAACACTCATTTTCTTTTTGTTTTACAATAATCCCAATACGCAGACTTTACCCTTTACGTGTTTACAGCTAACACAAAACTCAACCGCTTAAAAGGAAATTAGAAATACGCCAGTTATCATTTTGGTTGGTCTGGCAGGTTCACTGACCGAGCAGGAAGCAGCTAAAACAGGACACGGTCAAATAAACGACGTCCAGTCAGTTTAATTGATCCACTCCGCTGGAATTCATGACGGTTTGTGACCCGGCAGCTCTGAAACCGACTAAAACTCCCTATTGAGTCCGGAGCAATGTTTACATTCTGGTCAAATTCCTGAAAATCGTTTTTCGCCGGTTTCGACTGGATGTAGTGACACTGACCCCATGTGGCAGGAGATGAGATTGCAGGGCATGGATCCGATCCATAGATCCGAAACTACAAAGATAATTAGCTTGTCGCGTTTAAGTGAGTATATAGCAAAATTATAAAATTATTATTTTTATTTGTATGAAATACAAAGCTATAAACTACGAAGAGAACGGTGAAGCCTAGGTGGCGCTATGTCTCTATGTGTTTAAAACGTAGCCGACGAAGACGCTCTGTCGTCATTTCCTGTTGCGTCCCCCTGAATTATATTCCCACTCGCTGCTGGCGAAGGTGTGTAGCATCGATATTCCTCATTGGCTGTGCTTGTTTTTATTTCTGTTAATGCAAAACATCTCCACCGAATGCTTTATAGCCGTATTTATAATAAGTGAATGAAAACGGGGATAATAAGTGAGTATTTGCGCCACACAAAGGGAGCTGTGTGGCTAACCCGGAGCTAGCTTTAGGATAAATTCAGCGGCAACGTCAAACTGAAATATTAGTTTATGATTAATCAGGTTTGCTGTGTAAAATAAACCGATTTTCAATTTCTTGTTCTTATTAAATGAATTGGGTTTGTGTTTGCCTTATTGCAGCCGCAGGCAGTAACATTGGATTTGAATGGTTTTGTGTGTGTTTCTTCTGTAGGTGAAGGAAAGATGTCGGGTGCCGGGGGAGGGAAGCGGCCCTCGGGAGGGGACAGTCCTCCTGGCCCACCTGAGAAAAAGAGCAAGAAAGAGGAGAAAACCACCACGACGCTTATCGAGCCCATCCGCATAGCGGGAGTCTCCTCCACGGTGGGTCACCGGCTGTCCTGTCTTTCTTTAGCTAGATTCATTATTGTCATTTAAATCTGCACCACCGGTGCACATATGAGCAAAAACTGTTGCAAATGGCAACACGTAAAACACAAACATTCAATATTTAATACTAGGACGTCGTAATAAGCGATAAATAAGTTCATCGATTAAAACAAGCTCAATAATTTCCATTTACATGATTTATTTTCTTTCTACCAAAACTGGATGATGAAAGTCTTCAGTCTGGTGTTTCTTCCTCAGCTACTTTCAAATGTCTTCCAGTTAAATGTTCATTATAATATAAAGTTTATTATTCTTTGAGAATGTGTTCTAATTACATTATATTACTGTAAAATGTTCTCAAAGCAACAATATTATCGTCTATCGCAATAACTTCTGCGGCACTTGATTGTCCAGTAGAATTTGTTATTGTGACATGTCTAATAAATACATATTAAACTATGTAAAAAAAACATCTGAGAAAAAAAATATTTATGTTTAATATAAAAAAATATGTTTTCTTAATATGTACAAGAATGCCACTGCAGGCAGCAGGATGTCAAACGTTTTGTTTTGCATATTAAAGCTTGTTGTAAGTGGAAGTGTAAACGTATTTATATTCCCTCTCTGTTTATCTTCATATTTCTTGCATAAGGCACAAACACATGAACCAAACCCCAAAACACACACAAAAAATAAAATGCTACAGATAAAAAGCTCTGCAGTTACAGAAAATGGAAGCAAAAACCTACAATCAATAAAACAAATGCAGAAAAAAATAAACCCCATGAATGTCTGAGATCAAAATAACATTTATTTCCTCTGGTCATTTTGCTCTAACAGTTTTTTTGTGACTGTTTTGCAGGAGGAAATGGACATGAAGGTGCTGCAGTTTAAGAACAAGAAGCTGTGCGAGCGGCTGGAGCAAAGGCAGGCGATGGAGGACGAGTTACGAGAGAAAATAGAAAAGCTGGAGAAGAGGCAGGCTACCGACGACACGACCCTGCTGATTGTCAACCGGTACTGGTCTCAGGTACGAGCAGGGGTGAAAGTAGCTTTAAATTCTTGGGGGTAATATGACAAAAGTGTGTATACACACACACAGACACACACACACACATAGACACACACACATAGACACACACACACACACACACAGACAAGCTGGTAGCTCTTGAATTGCTACAAAGTAAAGCTGTATCTCCTTCAGCCCACTGGCTGCCATGTGAACCTTGAGACGCCATGAGGCCTAAATCCTGAACATCATGGCATGGAGGCATCCCAGTTTTCCATGTCTGGCATATAACCATTCATTTTAGCTTTTGAACTGGTTCTATTGATCCAGTGTCCAGACAGAGGGATGATCAGTAGTCCAGCATCATGACCTGTTTGTTCAGAA